GGGGGAAAGTTCAAGTTTGTTATACGAAAGGCAGGATTCAAACTAAGAGAGCTCCGTGCTGCTTTGGTGAACTTGGATTTTATTATTTCTATACGTGCTGACGTGCTGAAAAAAATTAAACAAGGTGCTCTGGTCACCTCAGTAATAAAGTTATTAAAGCTGTGATCATCGGGAGCATGCTGGTAACAACGAAGAACTGAAAGGGCAGGCTATTAAATGCAATACTTCATAAATGTTGCTGGTTTTTAGTACCAAATCTTCAGGTGTTTGTTTGTTTTTTTAAGTTGGTTTGGGCAGACATGTATATATGGATGCAAATTTTCCAAGACTTAGATTCACCCCTATTTTCAAACCAAACCCTGAAAGTTGTTGTCATTATTTAATTCAATCTGAATTTCTATTTTAATTCATCAACATGACAGCCACTTTTCACTAGAGCCACTGTTAGACATCTGGGGTAACCAGCTGCCCCAATGTGTGCCAGGACTCTCTTGGTTTTAGCACTGAAGTTCCTATGTGCCAGGAAACACCTCAGTCTTGAACAATCCAATATGGTTTGGTACTCTGCTGCTAGCTCTAGGTTTGGCCTTCAGATCTGCATCGCTGAAGTGTCTAGAAGAGGATAGAAAGGGGAACTGCTACAAAAATAGCTGAAAAAATGTAAATCTCCATCAAAAATTTCCAGCTACATTCTATTCCAGAGGTGGTTTACAAAAAAATAACCCAGTGGTCTGTCTCATTTACTAGGCAAGAAATGCTTTCTTACCTTGTGAGGATTACCTCCCTAATGTATGGAGGAAATTAAACCATACCTAGAAATTAGCTATTATATACACCACTACAGTGAGATTTTGAAATACTGTTATTTTTCCTTCAATTTCCATATTTTAGAGCCTAATAAATAAAGTAAAATGTGGCAGACAGACATAACAGCATAAAAGAAAAATCTTACATTTCTTTGGTGCTATTCAAAAACCTTGGAACATGCACACTGTACGCAAACTTTCTAGTTGGAGAAACGCCAAAAACAGCACACTCTCCAGAGACAACACCCATAGTACCAGAAAGTCTGGCCAAGGAAGGAGCCATTGGACTTCAACCTGTCCACTTGATCCGATTCCAAATACTCCAAGAAAACCAAAAGCCTTCAGTGCCTGTATCTATAAAGCAGGATTCACAGAGTCAAGGCAAGAACTTCTTACTTCATCGACTTAGGAAACTTAAACCCTCTCAACTCAAACAAAATGTTATAATCTTATCTCTGATATCTGAGGCATTTCTACCTTTTAAAAAGATGAAAACAATCTCTTTTACTTGGAGTAGGTAGAATAATGGCCCCCAAATAGGTCCATGTCCTAACGTTGGAACCTGTCAATCTATAATCTTACATGGAAAAGGGACTTTGAAGATATGATTAAATTAAGGAATTTGAGATGGGGAGATTATTCTAGATGATCCAAGTGTGCCAAATCTTATCACATGAGTCCTTAAAATCAAAGAAGCTTTCCTGGATGAGTTTATAATTAAATGCAATTACAGTATAAAGAAAGAGATGCAATATTGTTGTCTCTGAAGGTAGAAAAAAAGGGGCTCTAGAAGCCATAAAAGTCAAAGAAATAACTATGGGAGGTGAACACACAATGTAAACATATATATGCCTTACAGTTAAAGTGTACAGCTGAAACTTATTGGATTTCATTAACCAATGTCATCATAAAAAAATTAATTAAAAAAAAAAAGAATTCTCCCCTAGAGCTTCCAGGAAGGAATGCAGCTCTGTGGATACTTTGCTCTTAAATCAGTGAGATCCCTACAGAATCTAACCTGCAGAACTGTAAGATAATAAACCTGTTTTGTACTACTACGTTTGTGAGAATTTGTTACAGCAACAATAGGAAACAGATACATCTTTCATCATTGCTGTTGTTCAATTTGTATGATGCCTTAAGTAGTATTTTACTTTGAACCTCAATATTTGACCATTTCTTACCTAGTATTTAATTTACTTCTCTATATAGACTTGAAAACATTAATTTAATACTAGAACAAATATGCTCAAAATCTCTCCAACAGAGCAAAACAGTACTTTCTTTTACACGTCTACTTTGTTTCTTTCTTTAGTTTGTTAGCATAGAGACCACTTACATAAGGAACCACTGAGCATAACTGAAACCAATAATTTTGAATGAAGCAAAATGCTTTTAGGTGAGAGTAGAAAATGTCAAACAACCTCTTTAATGTTGTATATTATGACACAGTAGTTCTCAATATCTCCTTAGGGAACTCTGGGTAGCACAATGACTGGAAGATGCCACTGGCCTTCTGTTAGCCAAGGACAGAATAATAAAAAGCACAATCAAGAATTGTCTCACTCAACATGCCTGCAGCCTTTACTGAGAAATTGGCTTGGACCGATTTAAATCATTTAAGAACATTCATTAGCATGAAAGAAATCAACACAAATATCAGACAAAGAACATCAAATACTTATAAAAGTCTTCATTATTAGTTATATTTGGTAGACTGTAAGGATGGCTCAGCCCCACCTGTAAGATATGAAGTACTGAACTCCCAAAGAACCTCATTATGGAGTAGCAAAAGCTATACATAATCTTAAAAGACACCACACAGGCCTTTCTTTTAATAAGCTCTAGACAAGACATTCTCAACCGTGGCTACACATTAAATTACCTGGGGAGCTTTTAAAAACTGCAGCTGTTCAGACCCCTCTCCCAGGGATTCTGATTCAATGGTCTGGGTAGTGTCCGCATATTTTTAAATGCCTCCCTGGAGATTCTGATGTAAAATCAGGACTGAGAACCACTGCCCTGTACCCATCTTTGAGCAGCCTACTGGACATATCCACCTGAATGTGGCCACTCGACAGATTTGAATCCATTCTTCCTGCATTTGTAACCCAGTTATCATCACCCACCTAATCTTCCAAAAGAGAAGTCTGGGAGTTATTCTAGATATCTCCCACTCCTTCACATCTCATCTTTAATCAGCAATTTTATCAACTCTCCCATATTAGGCTTATCATTTCCAAACCCAAGACCTCTACTGGTCTCCCTTCCATTAGTCTCTCTCCACGACTTTATACTTCACTCTGCAGCCTAAGGAATTATCTTTAAAAAGAATTATAAGCCCTTCTCTGTCTTCCCACCCAAACTAGATTCCAGTCTTGAGTCTGGCACTTAGGATCCTACCCAAGCTTCATCAGCTTGCGTCTTTTCCGTTTGCTACTTCTCGACCACACCGTGGCCACTGTAAATTTCTGAAGGTTCCACCATTCTCTTTGGGGCCTTTATGTGCTTTCACATGTGATTCCTTATTCCCAGAATGCCTTTTCTCTAACTTTTCTGATGGATGGCACTTCATGTCATAGCTCAAATGTCCCTTTGTCCATCAAGCCTCTCAACAAACTCCCCACCAAGTTAGTCCTCTTTTCTCTCACTCACTGCAGAGACCTCCTTTTTTGCAAGGTTCTCGCCCCTGTGAGACTGAGCAACTCTGGGCCAAGGCCTATCTGTTTTCCATCTTCATATGCCCAGCATCTGGCATTCACTCGTTTGTTCATTCATTCAACAGTTGTATTAAATATATAACAAGTTCTAGACAACTCGCCAGATACTGGAGGCAAAACGGTTAGCAAGAGACACTATTCTTGCTCTCTCAGAGCTTATATTCTTGAGAGAGAGGCAGATAACTGGACAAACACTTATAATAAATTAAGAAGGTATATCAGCGAGAGTTAGGAAAAGTGTTTTGTGTTTTTAAGCTCCCAGTATATTAAGAAGTGAAAAAATGACAAAACTGGTTTAAAAAATTGTGGCACATTCTAAATGTTTACATTTAACAATTAAAGTTATATGATGAGTGTCATCTTTCCATTTTGTCAGTGTATCATTAAGAGATAACTTCATTTGGAAATGTCAGAAGTCCAATTTGAGGATCTCATAAATGCGAGGTGAGGAAAAATGTCTCTCTTATTCTAAGAAGGTTCTGACACTAGTAAATATTAAATATTTCCTGAAAGAATAAGTGAATGAATAATTAGCTCCAGTAAACTGTCAGGTTATAAGGTTTTATTTTATTAGCATTTTGCTATAATCACTCAATAATTATGCAAATAAACAATTAAAAATCCAACAACCAAATGCGAGCTGCTATCATATAATACAGTGGGGAAAAAAGAGAATTGTATGGGGGATATAAGTGAAACAATATTGGCCATGAGCTGAAAAATGTTGAAATTGAGTGAATATGTATATGGAAGTTCATTATACTATTTTCTCTATTTTGGTATATGTTGGAAACTTTTCATAATGAAGTTAAATTTAAAAGGGGGGCAAGGATAAAAATCCCAGTCACTGACTTAAAGAAACTACAGATCTTGGTTGGGGAGAAGAAACACACTATCACCTATCTCAGCAATATGGTGACCTTTCAAATCTACAAGCAGACTCAAGTGGCTTTAGCTAGTTTCAAGAGCCAAGTCAGCTTCCTCAAGAAGAAACTAAACCAGCATTAAATTGACCTTTTGTTGTTGTTATTGTTGTTGCTGCTGGAAAAGCCCTTAGAGTATCTACAACCAATCTGTTAAGAATAGGCTTTACCATTCTCTGATCTAATCTCTGATCTACCTGACTGACATCTGTTGTTCACAGGGTATGTCCTCAAAGGCTTCAATCAATTAGTTGCATCTGATGCCATAAGAACACATTTTGTTAAGGCAGTGACCTCAAAGGCTCTCCAAATAGTATTTTTAGAAGAAAATGGGGCAATCTGGGCGAGAAATCTGATTTTCACTACGGAGAGCCATTTTTTTCCTTTAAATCCTGAAGTTATGTCAATGTTGCTAAAGACTCTATGAAGGTCTGATAAACATCACATGTTAAATGTTTTCATCTACAGCATCACTTAAGATATATTTTCTCCTCTTGAAGTTATGGTTAGAGTCAAGAAGATCCTAGCAGAAAATATTTCAAAATTCTTACCTCTTCAGTTCCCAAAGCCTGAGGCTCACTGGCAGATATTGCTGTCAAGAAAGGAGAGAGGAAAATAAGTTTTTTAGAAAAAAGAGAAATCACATGATACCTAAGAGCTGAACAAGCAAATGCATGTTGCTGTAACTGAGGTTTGATGGTAATGGCCAAATGCTTCTAAGGGCAGGAGGGTTCTAAAGACAGGCTTACATTTCTGAGCCAAGGAACAGACATTTTGTTAACTCTTTTTCTTTTAAGAAATGTCTTTATGAGTCTACAGCCATGCCAGCCCAATCTTGTCTGATCTCAGAAGCAAAGCAGGGTCCAGCCTGGTTAGTACTTGGATGGGAGACCACCTAGGAAGACCAGGTGCTGTAGGTGTAAAAAAAAAGAAAAAGAAAAAGAAAAAAGAAATGTACTTATGAAAATAGGAGTCCCTTTCTTTGTGAAGAAAACATGAAAATATGAAGTTGGCTTGGGAACCTAGAGGCAACAGAGTTCTTGGTGACAAAGGCTGTGTACCACTGAGATGAATAAGAACAAACCTTCCTCCTAACCTAACCCAATTTGCTCCCAGAGGGACCAAAGTGATAGAAACAGAACATGCTCTTGCACCAGATGATAGGAGTAGAGTTGGAGTTCCATTTGTGTGTGTCTAGTACTTTAAGAGGGTAGATGGACAAGTTAGTAGTTATAAAAGCACCTTTAGCATTCAAATCTTCTTCGGGCTATTTAAGAGTAGAGACACCTATACCCAAAGGCACTAAGGACTTCTGAGGATGTTGAGCAGATCTGGCCTAATTTTACCTCGTGCCCAAGTGTGGTTCATATCCAAGAACGTTCCTATGTACAGTAGCGTCTTTACTACTAAAAAGTTATCCAGCACTCAGCTCAAAGGGAATTGCCTCTACCTCAGGGAGCGCTTTACCATTCCTATTTTGTTGTGTCTCAGAACAAAATGTACCTCATATCTAGAATACTATGACTAAGGGTGGAAATCAAATTCACATTGGGTTCTAGGACCAAACGCACATCAGTATCTCTAGAGATTTCACACTACTTAATACTGGTGCATATGCTACAATCACAATCCGACCAATTATATTCCCAGATGACTTTAAGGGATCATATGTTTTTAAATGAGCCAAAGTTATTACAAAACTATTATCTCATGATTAATGACAGCAAAGGAAAAAAAAAGCCAAGGACAAAAACCTTTCAGAGAATGAACCTTAGGGATAACAATGATTAGTGAGACTTGCAAAATAAACCCATCCAAGGGTGCTCTGAGTCTAGCACTCTCATACATTATTGGCAATAGCATCAATCAGCACAACCTATCTGAAAAGCAGTTTGGTACCATTTATCAAGATTCTCAAATATGTTCTCAATCATCGTCTTAGTGAAACCATTCCTTGACTTTATCCTAATTAATTAAAAAATCCAAAATGTAGACAAAGAATAATTACCAATATGTTAAAAACAGCTTAAATATTAAATACAATTTATGAAATAAAATGGAGAAATTCTACATGATGGACCTTTAAAACAATGAATATGAAAAATTTAAATAAGGAAAAATGCATATGAAAGTGAAAAGAGAATATAAAATTTTATATATAGTATGACCTCAACTAATTTTCTAATGTTCAGTTATAAATACATGATAAATTTTCTAATACAGTATCTATTTTTCATAAGTAATATTCTTCTACTAAACCACATATATTTTCTAGTAAATATTATAATCTTTCCAATATATATTTTTCTAGGAAAAAGACTGGAAGAAGATACATCAAAATGTAAACAATATATTATCTCTTTTGTATGGGATAATGGAAGTAGCATAAATTGCTGTTCTCTTTTTATTTTATGCTTATAATGAAATTCTAAGCTAGCACATATATGTCAAGAATAACTACTTTTTCCAGTCTCTCTTGCTGCCAGGTGTATTGGCCATGAGTCAAAGTTCAATGGGATGGCTGCAAAAGTGATATGCGCAACTTCTGGGTCATGCCTTCCCCTTTCCAACTTTTTCCCCATCTGCTGATTATAGTGAGGTCCTTGTTAGATCATAAAACAAGGGAAACATGCTAGGAATGATGGAACAACATGATGTAAGAAGCCTGGGTTCCTTAATGATCTTGTGGAGCAGAGCTTCTTAACCAGCCTTGGACCACCCACCTCTGGGTTGTTGTATGAAAGAGAAATAACTTCTAGCATATGTCAGCCACTGTGAAATCAGGTCTCTTACATGCGGTTCAACCAACAACCTGATTAATGGAAGGGGTCTTCTTATTTTTTCTTTACAATGTAAGCATTTTTCAAATTTTCAATAATCACCATGAATTACCTTGATCATCAAAAAAAATTTAAGTTAAACTTTGTTTACTAATGTTAAGAAAATTAAGATAGCACAGAATGAAGTTTGGGCAACATGTGCCTTCTTCCCACATATGAGAAAAAAAATGAAATCTATAGTTTTGAAAAATAATTATTACATCATATACCAGGGCACAAATTACACACAAACTCCCTGACATTTAATGATCCTTAATCATACCCCAAGTCTTTTGAAAAATAGTTTTAATAAGGCAAAGTTGTTTAAATAAAATCTGCTTTAAAATCTACTCGAGAAATATTCTAAAAAATAAGTAAATAAAACTCTAGTCAATGTACTACAATAGTTCTCCATTATCCGTGGCTTCATTTTCCATAGTCTCAGTTTCCCATGGTCAACAGTGTGTGGCTCACAATATTAAAGGAAAATTCCAGAAATGAACATCTCATATGTTTTAAATTATGTGCGGTTCTGAGTAGCGTGATGAAATCTCGTGCCATCCCACTCCATCTTGCCCAGGATGTGAATCAACCCTTTATCCAGAGTATCCATGCTGTATATGCTACCCACCTGTTAGTCACTTAGCAGCCTCTCAATTATCAGATCAATTTTCATGATATAACCCAAGTGCTTGTATTCGAGTAATTCTTATTTTACTTAATAATGGACCCAAAAGCACAAGAGTAGTGATGCTGACAATTCAGATATGTCAAAAAGAAGACATAAAATACTTCCTTTAAGTGAAAAGGTATGTAAGTATAGGAAAAAACATAGTATATATAGGGTTTGGTCCTATCCGTGGCTTTAGGCATCCCGTGGGGGGTGGGGGGGTTAAAATGTATCCCCCACACATAAGGGGGCCTATTATATACTTATCCATTTAAGAGCATATCTAGATTTCTTAAATTGAACTTAATAATGTTCTTAAATAGTTTTGTATGTGCACTAACTTTTAATTTAAGGGTGTTGTTTGCTCTCCATATAGTATCATAATGAATCCCTCTAACAGTAATTCCACTGACCCAATAACTCTGTTGACTGTTCATCAACCAAGCATATGCTTTAATTTACTTACCCTGGAGGGGTGCCAGATTGACAGAGCTCACACAACTTCTCTGCTCTCCTCTGTGACCCAGGGGCCTGCATTATAAGATGACTGTCCAAGATAAAGGAGTCATATCTACTCCAAAAATACAGAAAAGATACCTGGTCTGCTTGGAGATCAGATCTAAAACAATGGCCTCACCAAATCTGGTCTCTAACCATATTAGAATAACGTACTGAGGATCCTTTAAATCTGAAATTATGTTATGTCAGTGGCATTTGGTGCTTTTTAGAGGATCACTAAATCCCTGTGCATTTGCACACAAGACAGCTCACCAGGTAGACCTTCGAGACTTATATGTAATTATATATCAGATTTTTAAAAACCTATCTTTCCTCCATCTTCCCAAGAGAATGCCAAATGGTCCTTTTCTCCCCTGTGAATCACAACACCCAACGCTAATATGGCTAACTTATATTCAATAACAAAGGCAGGATGCCAGAGTTTCTTCACTTCCCTCTCAGGATGACTGTGCCAGTATGTTTTCAAGAACCCCCTATACTCTCTCTTGCAATAATTGAAGCTGATAGTCAAAGCTCTAAATTCTGTTTCTCTCCCCTTCTTCACTTTACAGCAACATAAGCAAGCCAACTCGACAGGCCTAATTACCATGGTAACAACATGTACTGTGATTATGAGTGTGTTTGTTTTTTAAAATGACTCACAGATTGTTCCCCCAGAAGCCCCAGACACACAGGTTTCTGGCTGGTTTATAAAATCTATTCGAAGTTTTCTTGCAAATTTCTTGCTCCTGTTAGCATAACTGGTGTGATGAAGACAGATTCATCAAATCAAATATGCCCTTCTCCTTAAGGATGAAAAAAAAAAATTCATTTGGTTCCTTAAACACTCCAAGATTAATCAATTTAAAACTCAAGTTAATAATGAAATTAATTTGAGTTTGTACACTGGAGATAATTAATCTGTTCCTAATTTAAATAATTAAGGTATTTCATAATGTAGTGTTAGAGACCCAAATGAAATAATCAGATGAAATAAAATCAGCAGTAAAAAAATATCAAATAAAATAGCTTAAATCTATGGGTACATGGTTGGTCACATATAAAGTGTTACAAAAGAATAAATGTAGGTCTTTTTCAGACTAATTTCCAGAATAAAGACATTTATTTTTTTAAATGCAGACATGAAAGAGTCTAGACATTTGGAAGAACTATGGACTACTTCCATTAATTTATTCAATACATATTATTTAAGACCCTCTATGTACGAAGCACCATTGTTTATAACTAGAATATCCCAACAGAGCTTAGGGCAGGCTATTTTCTTCCTGGAGACAAAAGCCACAGGCATGTTCTCCTCTTGAAAACATCCCTTGCTTCGCAAGACACCATTCTGAATAAGCTGTCCATGTGAGGGATCATTACCTAATGATCATATCAGGCCTGGAATTCAGAGTCCTGACTCCCTCAAAAAAAAAAAAAAAAAAAGTCGTAATTTTAGTATGTTAATTTTCCTTTGTATGAAATGGAAGTAAATCTTATTTGATAAAAACAAAATGTTAACTGGAAATTTTTATATAAATCTCTTTAACTTAAGACTCTAGGCCTCCTGATACTTACATATAATATAACATATGTTATGGGCGC